TTTGAAAATTGTAATGATAATTCATATTATAATATAATCAACATTTTTTATTTAATGATTATTTTTTAATAAAATAAAAATAGTCAATTCATATATTAGAATAATCATTCATATTATAATGTAATAATATTTTTATTTTATGATTATTTTTTTGTAAAATTAGAATTATACATTAGAATAAATATTTAATTTAGATATACATTAAAAAATAATTAAATTTTGATAATCAATATATAGAAGAGATAGTATTTTTATTAAAATATCTCATCCTTTTAAAAGATCAAAAGTTTAGAAACTCAAATTACAAGTAGCAATAAAAATATATTTTAAAAGTAGAATTAGATTGACAATGTAATAATAATGATGATGATGATGATGATAATAATAATGATAATGATGATAATAATAATAATAATAATAATAATAATAATAATTCTTGATGGGATCTGATTTTAATAAGTCCTGATCTGATCTGATCTGATTGGATCTGATCTGATCTGATTAGATCTGATCTGATCTGATTGGATCTGATCTGATCTGATTGGATCTGATCTGATCTGATTGGATCTGATCTAATATGATCTGATCTGATCTGATTCGATCTGATCTGATCTAATCTGGTCTGATCTGATCTGATCTGATATGATTTTAATAAGAATAAGAAAAAATAAGAAAAAATAAGTTGAACGGAACGGGGCCTTAATCAGTTAAGTGTGCAATAGCCTCGTGTGGTCTCATAAGTCATAAGTGCACTGAAATCTCGTGGGGTAGCAAAAATCACCGATAAAAATAAGCTACGTAAATAAATTCATAATACAAGTTGCTGAAAAGGATGTTATAACAATGTCACACAAATAAATGATAGATTGAATGCTATAACACATTCTCAATCACATGTATGTACACATACAAAATATAAAGTAAAAACAATAAACAAAGCACAAGAATTATTTACGCAAGTTAGAACATATTGAATTTTAAAGTACCAAAGAGAACATAAATTCATGAGAAATAGCTTTTATTTTATTAGGAAAATATAACTCAAAATTAAAGGAACCTAAATCAAGAATATAGTTTAAACGTTAATTAGAATTACCTTAAACTAGAATTAGTTTAAGAGTTGATAAATATCAAGAAATTGGTCTAAGACTAAGAATAGTTTGAGAGCATTATTGAATATGAATGTTGAATATTAAATGAAAGTTATGTGCATGATATCAAAAGATTTGATTATGAATTGAGATTCAATTTGTATAAATGTTTGATGCATTAGATATCCTTACTCAGCTTCACCGTTGAGTGTATAATATGTTTTATTTGTTATAAATAGGTAAAAAAAGAATGAAGTGACATATTCCTGGCGGCATATGGGGCGAGATGGTGGAGATTGATTTATGGATTTAAATTATTATTTTAAAGACGTAAAATAATTAATTGTGATTGTCATGATATATGTTTTAATTCGCTTCCGCATTTTTAAACACTCCATATTTCTAAAGTTTATGTACTGAATATTATTTATGATAAATAAAGATGTTTAAAATGTTTTAATATTTATGATTACCAAGTATATACATTAGTCCGAAAGAGGCTGCAGACCTGGATGGATTAGGGTGTTACAAATATCATGGTAATTTAGAAACTCATATTCTTGAAACCCTCAAGTTGACTTGTAATCTAAAACAAGAGTAATTTAGCTAAATAGGACTAAGGCTCCGTTCCGTTCAACTTATTTTTTCTGATCTGATCTGATTCTAATAAGTTCTGATCTGGTCTGGTCTGATCTGATCTGATTTGATTGGATCTGATCTGATCTGATTGGATCTGATCTGATCTAATCTTATTGGATCTGATCTGATCTGATTGGATCTGATCTGATCTGATTGGATCTGATCTGATCTGATTGGATCTGATCTGATCTGATTGGATCTGATCTGATTTGATCTGATCTGGTCTGATCTGATTAATTATGATTTAATTTAAAATTTCAAATCAATAATTTAATTTGACTTTCTAATAACGTTTGAAAATTGTAATGATAATTCATATTATAATATAATCAATATTTTTTATTTAATGATTATTTTTTAATAAAATAAAAATAGTTAATTCATATATTAGAATAATCATTCATATTATAATGTAATAATATTTTTTATTTTATGATAATTTTTTTGTAAAATTAGAATTATACATTAGAATAAATATTTAATTTAGATATACATTTAAAAGTAATTAAATTTAGATAATCAATATATAGAAGAGAT